CGAACCGATAACCGATGGGGACGAAAGGTTCTCGAGTGGAGACCACGAACCGGAAGACGCAGCGTGGGTCGACCCCCGACTAGATGGACGGACGACATCGTCCGAGTCGCGGGCGGCCGCTGGATGCAGCTGGCGCAATGTCGTCCGTCGTGGAGTTCAAAGGGGGAGGCCTATGTTCAGCAGTGGACGTCTTCCGGCTGATGATGATGGTTCAACCCGAACAAATTCGAAGTTATAACGATATTTTTCTGTCAACAGCGGAAGGTGCTTTCAAAAAATTAAAACCGGAGCCCGGTGGGAGCAGTACAGGCACCTCTGGTGGTTCATCAGCGTTATCACCGTCCCTGGGGCCCCAGCACGCCGGCCACACACCCACCACTGCCTCCTGTCCGACGCCCGCGCGCCGGAGACATAGGACAACCTTCACGCAGGTGGGCACCTCCTCCATGCATCGTTTTCCTTTTTTTTTTTTATCGTCGAGGAAATGCTTTTGACACTTTCCCTGTTACCTGGCAAGTAACAGGGGGTGTGTGGGACTCTCCTCCGTGAACCCACTCGGCAGGTGAGCTGCCCAGTGAGTTCCCGGAGGCCTACCCACTAAAACCCCTACGGTGTACCCTCTCTTGGGAGATGATGCATCGTTTTCCTAACTCGTGGTCTCTACGATTAATTACATCTCGGGCCTGGTTATACTATCTCTCGATCTTCTGCTACGTGTATGACTTTGGCTGACGCTAGAATTCGTATATACTCGAATTTGATCTGTACATCGAATAGGGCTATGTTTTTTCCTTCTCGATCTTTTGCCTTACTAACTACATATTTCATATTGTTGAGTGGGGCGCTTGGCCAACCCTTATTTGAAGCTGTACATGAAGTACCTAACAAAATTAAATATTATTAGGTAATATAGTTCAATAAAAAAAAAGAAATTTTAGCTAATTGTTGTCAAAATTCTTACAGATTATAATTTGAAATAAGGTTTAAAGAATTTTTGAAAGTCATATTATTTATAAGGTTTCTTTCTTTTGTCCCATCAATAAGTTAATGATATACCAATGGACATATTTACGTGCATCAACCATATCACTTTACAACAAAGAATATGCATGCGTATACTTGTAATCTGCCTGTCCCACTAAACAGTTTCTCCAAAATTTCTCTTTTTGTATACTCTCCGTGATTTATCACTTCTATGTTCTCGGAATAGATAAACTCAGCCTTACACTAAAGGATCAATTTCGTCATGTTTTTCTTCTATGCTTCCGCAATTCGGTCTTGATTTTGCCTGCTTTGCTTGTGAAGAGTGAAGTGAAGAGTAATATATCTGGGAGGTTAAATAGCCTCCCAGATATATTCAGTATTCATAAAACATGAACAATTATTTCTTATGATTCTGCAAAACTTCTGCACAGGTGATTTCGTGCTGTGGTTGGTGGCAAGTTGATGGCATCTAATTCAAGATATTCTTGTTAAAGGGTCTTAACTAATTTATTATAGGGCATTCATATGGGTTAGAGCGATATTGGTATGCGTTTTTTTGTGGTGTCCAATCGCTTTCATTAATAAAAAAGGCTATCGCATAATAGGAATGACGAGTAATTTTTATTTGTTTGTCCATTGGGTAGATTATTGAAGTATATTAAATAAGTATTTTTTATATTCCGCGTAATAACAATTTATATTGTGTTGACATGTCGCATGACGTCACGCTTTTGTACATTTTCTATAAAACTGTAACGTTGCGAGCCCCCACTTCTCAACTTTAATGCCTATTATCTAAGCCATTTCTTGTTTAAACAGAAACAAAAAATATAACGTATCTAATATTATTCAATTGTTTGTAACAATAACAATAAATTATTGTAACAAGTGACATAGATTTATCCCTTCTCATGTCGTTAATCCTCAATGCAAAGAGTGAAGAACTCTCTAGTGAACTGTAATTCATCGTATTCTGGTCTATACTGAATCTTAACCCAAACATTAACCTTAATTCAAATATCATTCGAACCTAACTTTGATAAGTAAATTTAAGTTATTATAATGTGATTATAAATAGATTTGATAGGTATTACCAGAATGACATAGAGTTTCGGCTTTCACGAGCGGTTGTAACAACCTAGACTGAATAAATTATTTTGATTTGATTAAGGTTTAAAGGTCTAATATTACATCGTACCTTGATCAGCTACGATATTCTGATAAAATATAGCGTCGAACTCGACATCGAGTACAACGCTGTAACAGCATAGAGCTTCAATGAAATTACCTATTACTGCAGGTTTTATTTGATTGTACTTCTATACTATGACAGACCAACGGTCGGCGTAAAGTTTTACTTTGTTTACTGCAATTATCAGTTATTCATTTTCAATTGTAATTTCAATTTCAATATAAATAAATATATATAAATGAAACGCCATGATGTATGTACTCGCATAACTTCCAACGACTGCACCAAATTGAATCAATCTTTTTTATGTGTTCCTTATCGTCAGGACAAAGTTTGTTAAGAAAGTATAAAAAGATATAAGGAATTTATAAAAATAGGGCATATTGCGGTACGCAGTTCACTGGGTCAGCTAGTGATATATTTTCTTATAATATATTTTTTTGCTGTAGGAACAATTGGCAGAATTAGAAGCAGCATTCGCGAAGTCACATTATCCAGACATTTACTGTCGGGAGGAGCTCGCGAGGACCACTAAACTCAATGAAGCGAGGATACAGGTTGGCTAATTATTTATTTATAACTGCCTAACCCAACTGTCTGTATTATATATATGTCACCATTGATTTCTAAGTAAGATATAGCACTATTAATATTGGAGCATTAGCAGAATTGACCTACAGATTGTTCTGCTAACATTTCGTCTGATAGCCTGCACGCGTAGCATGACAAAGTCGAGGACGTTTTGACTACATCCAAATCTCACTTTTCTTTCTTCGTGGTGTCATGAATGTATGTACATCTCACTCTTGACTGCAGAAAAGTGTAGACAAAGTATCTCGAAGTTCCCAGTGATCATCCATGGCTTTATTTTAACAGCTATAAATAGATTTTTGACAGTGATTGTCTGTTCGCCGCAGTAAAGCCTCTAGTGTGGTGACTTTGTAGGTTTTCTTACGAATAATGTAAGGAAGATTTTCATAATAATATTATGAAATGAAACAAATAGAATTATTTATTTCTTAAGCCTCTCCTACAATAACGACGAAAAATTACCGTGTAATTAAAAGAAATGATTCAATTATAGCAACTTAACTTCGGATCTGAGCTGTGGAGTTACATATTTGTAATAATATTACAAAAGGAAAATATTTGGTTTTTGCTTTTGTTTGTTTGACTGCAATGGATAAATGTGAAAACTACTGAACTGAATTTAATATTGACATATATAACACTGCGCAACAGTAGATATTTCTACCTTTAATGAAAAAGTACACTTCAGGCACCCCGAGATCGGACCATGACATGCCATTTCATCTCGTTCTATCTCAAGGTCCCTTAGACTGGTGGAGTTTTTAAACATTTTTAATCAAAGATATTTATCAGTATAGCATTGTCAATACAAAATTAATCAAATACAATAAATAGGTATTTCTGTTAATTGGATAGGTAATACTGTGTATGAACTGGATTATGATAATAGTTAATTCATAATTAAGATTATCTTAATATTACTTTGAATTTATAATTTTCTCACTACTTTTTAGTTTTTGGTAGAGAGATATTAGACAAACGCCATTACTGTCATTTTTGATAACTTAATTATAATTTATTTGAGTTAATTTATATTTAAATTTAATTTATTTAATACATTTTGAGATTCTGTAATACTTGAATTTAATAGCACCTATTTTCTACTTTATATTTCAACTAGCTTTCCGCCAGCGGCTTCGCTCGTGTGTTCATTTGAATATCGATATTATGAAACGGATTTAATTACAACTTAGATTATTATCTAAGAATTACAATAATAAACAGAATAGCAAACAAAGGTTACTATGGCAACGTTTTAATTCCCTATACAAATTTCCACTCCTTTTCCCATTCCTTTATTTGCTGTTTTTCGAGATAATATAAAACGTATGATGTAGCTTCCCGTAGGTGAAACAATTTTTAAAATTTGCTGGAGGGGCCTATTATTTGCAAACAACCAAACAAAATTTTCTACTTTATAATATTAGTATAGTTTTAAATATTCTACTGGCAGACACGACCGCAGGTATATATCATATAAATCATATAATTTCAAATCTAAACACAAAAATACCTAGAACAAGGAATATTACTTTTGTATGGAAAAGTTTAGAGGAAATGTAATAATATTTTGATTAATTTTGCATTAACAATGCCATACTAAAATTATTCTTAATACAAAATGCTTAAAAAATCACTTGGTCCCTGGCACCCTGAACATTGATGAGAATACGCTCTGTAGTACCGAAAAGTAGCAAGTGCTTGAAGGATTCGTCAGTCTTGTTAGGTCCTGGGTAGCTCAGTGGTTAGAGCAGTCGCCTGGTTTGCGAAAGGTCGGGGGTTCGATTCCCATCTCAGGGTGCCAGGGACCAAGTGGATTTTTTAAGCATTTTGTATTAGGAAATGTAATATCCTATCATTTTGCAAGGAAACAACTTAAAATTGTTTAGAAGCTGAATTTTCAAGTTGTAAACTATTATAGTAATAAATCCAAAAATATAATCAAAAAAAGAAGCGGACTAATTTTGGGTAAATAAATAGAATTGATCGAAATAGTAATTTATCAGACTTTTTAATTGTATTATCTCAAGTATAATATGTACATAAGTAAACAATTTTTAGGAAAGTGTAATCAGCAAGAATTAATTATAACAACTTTAAACAATCCAAAGATATATTTTTAGAAACATACGACTAACTTCTTATATTTTCTGCATGGTTTATTTCCGAAGATCTATAAATTACACTTAACCCATTCAAATGTGTATTATATTATGTGTATTATAATTAAATAATGTGCTCTGAAATATTTGAAACAGTAAATTTATATTTAATCTTTAGATATTCTTAATAGAATAATAATCATAAGTTATCATGAAACAACATATCGAATAACATTCAATTGCACCATACAGAGGAATATATGGTTACAATGGACCACCCATGATCAGTCTATTATAAATCGAACGCGCACGTCAGCACGCAGCAGACGCCACGGTACAATGCCTAGCGTGCCGTTCTTCGGAATTGTCGAAATATCAATGATGCGCGAATGCGCCCGTAATACAATTTGGAGCAGCCCGGAGGCGGATTGAATTAAAGCGCCATCTGTCGTCCACGGCTGTGTGAATACAAAATACTTACTGTAACTAGCAACGGATCCTTATCTCAGTTTTAAAACGCTCAACCCCCGGGAGACTTAATATTGATTTGTAGGAGCTTCTAATTTTTCACCTTAAAATGTAACATTCATGACAAACATTGTTAGTGTACATATTAATATATAATATAACTTCATTTTGTTCCTATCTACATATTTTAACAATCTAAACCCATCTAATAAAATATTCACCGGATATAAAGGACTTTAGGTTCTTTAAATGCTTTTCGGATTCTTTAGAAGTAAAAGCTTCTAACCAAAGTGTAGGAATCATTAAATCAAATGTCATATTTTAATAATATGGATTCCTACGCTTTTATATATTTCTCTAGCAGAATACGCCACGAGTAATGTTTTATTCATCATCACTCCATCATAGACAATTACTCTTTTCTTTCGAGAGCAACGAGTGACAAAGTTCCGTTGAGAAAATGGAAGGTTCCACGAAACGACATTAAGACTACATACACGGCACGGTTAAAAGCATGTGAAATGCGCGTCGGCGACCGTGTGTGAGTGCATGTTAGTACGCGTCGAAACGTCGAACGTGTGTGAGTACTATTAACGTTTAGACGACGCTACATAAGAATGTAAACGTTAAAGACGACATCGACGTGGAGCACCCTCCTAGAGGAAATTTCGATATAAAAATACGAGTTGCGGGGCAGAGTGGGGCAGCGGGGAGGGTCGGCGGCCCCTGAGGCATTGCAATCCCATCAAATGGATCCGTAACGAAGTTAGCCGCTCATCCTCCCCGCGCGCCCCCTACATTGTCTCTGCCCTCAAATGAATTCTACAATTGGAAATAAGAAAATGTTTTGTTGGATCCGTGCTTTTTCAGTTTAAAGGCGACCGTTTCCTTTGGATAACTCGACGCTCGCACAAGAAAATTGGTACCTATCGTTTTTGTTGAGACGCTAACAAAATGTTTCTGAGAGGGATCTTTACTGAATTAAGTTCCATCCCTGTTTAAATTATTGCTCATAGATGTTTGTTCGGTTTAAATTTAGGCAATTGTTTATTGGCCTGTTCATTGAACTGTTTGTTAATTTAATTTCGGTTTTTCAACACCGCCACGAATTACCGAGTCGCCATATCCGAAGTCCTAGAATCATATTTTGTTCGAGTCAACGTTTATAAGATTCGGCGTCGCCGATCATTTTTGATATGAGCGCCGTTTTATTTTTTATACTAAAATTCAAACTGAATAAATTGCTTAATATTATATCAGTGTTGTTTTCCCGCGACTTCGCCCGCGTATATTATAGGCTGTCACCCGCGTATGACATAACTTCCCGTAAGTGAAAAAAAAACGGTCCAATATAACGCGTTTATTATATTTGGTCAATTTTACATTCACAATTCTATACTGAAAAATATTTATGAAAAATGCTTAAAAATCCACTCAAAATCCCATCCGAGAGTGCCAGTGACAAAGTGGATTTTTTAAGCATTTTTCTAAGAAAAATTTATCATTTCATAAAAATTAATAAAAACAAATATTAATATATACTAAATATATATGAATATTTGTAAATGAAAATCTCAATAATTTTTGTACATTAAAATTGTACTTAAAGAAATAGACTTTCAATGATATACAAACTTCAGAAGAAAATACTCTTTTGACAACTTAATATTTAAATTGAGATAATATTGATAAAAGTTCGCGAAACAATTTAAGTAACTTTCTCTAGATTTACCTTTAGTGGGTAAAAAGCCAGTTACACGATATTCTTCATATAACTTTCTTAAATAATATAGTTTTATCTATAAACACAAATAACAAGCAATAATTAAATGAACTATACCAAAAAACGACCTTCCGAATAACGAACCGTAATAAAACGATACATCGGAAATTGTTTTTCGTTAGAACGCGCATAGGCGGATGTACATACACTTGTCTCGTGAAAAAACTTAATATCCCATTTACGTTTCCCCCAGGCCTATAGCAAACACATAAGTACATATACGTACATAGGTCACCGTATATGTGGGTGTATCGTAGGGTTGTCAATATTTCATCAGCGAAATAATATATTTAGAATTAATTTATTAAAATACTCGTAGCAAGGAACCGGATATTAAATAAGACAAAACGTGAAATGCAATAACTTTTGTTTAGATCACTTTTGGATCTTTCATTTTCTACCACCAGTTTGAGACGTCAAGTTGACAAGATCGAGCAAAAGAAACGTACCAGCACTTGATTAAATTGTCGCATTAATGAAAAGTTAGTATATTGGACGTCTTCATTAACGAATAATTAAAAGTTTCTAACAGTTAATGGTAAGCACGCTCAAAATATAGTTAAATACTATGTATTATAAGTATATAGTATACTACGGATGGCAACCCTAGTGTATCGACTTATTTATACGTTCGCTCGTGCGTGGGCGGCCCCCGTACCACCCTCTAATCAGTTGTAATCACCATATCAAACGACGCAGGCCCTCATTCGCTCCGACAACGCGGTCATTAGGATGACACCGGGCGTTGTTTGTAGCTGTGGACTTTAAAAGCGCCATCTATCGAGTAATTGGCGAGTTTTTTGATTGGTCATGTGCTTTTTCATTGTTGTGTTCGAGTTTGTGTTTATTAGATGGTCGGAAAAATATATGAGATTAAATGAGAGGAAAATTATCTTAGGTCCTGTACGATACGAAAAATAATGTAAAACGTAAAATATGAATATACTAGCTGTTTCCCAGGACTTCGCCTGCGTAAATTATAGGCTCTAATGTTCGTGTATGAAGTAGATTCCCCTTAATGGTAAGCACGCTCAAATGATAGAATTTTCATGATCGGATCAGTATTTTCGAAGATTACCCCCTACAAACAAACAAATGCTTACTAAAATTAAAAATAATATTTGTTCGTTCTTGCGACTTAACTCGATTTTACGCCATTATTTTAACCAGGTCCATATTATTTAAGGTTGATAACAAAAAGTATGTTGTATAATGGTACTCCGATATTTAGAGACATTTTGAATATTATTTTTGTTTCTTAATTACAATTAAAATGTAAAATTTTGAACACTTTTGAATTGAATAAATGATAAATGTGTAAGATGAGCGTGAACAAGTTGCTAAAATATAATAACTCTTTACTGCGTGAATATATTCAGAATAAACAATAACAAAAACTTTACTTATAAATCATATAAAAGGATAATACAATGAAATAACCTACAACTAGGACCTAGCCGAAGGGTATTTCTATTTGTACGCTTGGAATCGGTTATTCGGGCAATATCTGAAGACGAAAAAGTATTTTACCAATATTATTACTTTAAAGTTTACTTGTATGTATGCTTATTTGTCTTTCACCATACTTATTAGGTATAAACTTTAGGAACGGTGCAAAACGGCAGCAAAGAGAACGGCCTCGATATTTGAGTTACAATCTCACAGTCATGTTTAGAAGCTTTCCTTCATTCATAAATAACTAAAAATTAAATATTTTACATTTTTCTTAACATTTAATTATCATAAATTAATATGCATAGGTGTGGTTTCAAAACCGACGCGCGAAATACCGCAAGCAAGAGAAGCAACTGCAGAAAGCTCTGGCGCCGGCGGTGCTGCCTGGCTGCAATGGCATGATGAGGAACATCCAGGGGTACCGTGGCTACCAGCCCTACCCCCACCCCAACACCATCAACAGATATCCGCAGGTAGGATATCCACATACTACTAAGGTACAGCTGCTAGCGATTTCCGTGGCAGAGTGATGTGCACGCCGGTTTTTTAAATATAAAATCATCTATTATAACAATCTTCATGCATGATGAAGGTTTATTTGAACTCTATTTTTTCATTTTAGAATCAACATTTAATTATTAAAGTTAAGGAGTAAGAAATACATTTTTTATCATATACCTTGCAATCGCAGGACAAACACTATCGAAATTTCGCTAGCCCATACTGAATATTTCAAATAAACCGTTTCGTATAGTTATCTGAAGAATAATTATCTATACTTATCTGAATATAGTTCATCACCACTGCTGAATACAAATTCATTTATTCGGCGCATGCGCATAGGACACTTAACTATATTAATTACCTAATCACATTATTACATATTAGAATAAACACTAGATTAAACGTACAATCACAAACAATAGGATATTAAACATTAAAATAATATTGTGTCCTAAGACTGCACCATAAAGGTCATGGCATTTGTCGGTCTGTTTACTTTTCAGAAACAGACGGACGCTTTTCAGCTAGACCTTATGTATCCACCACATGGGCGCAGGGATGCAAGATAATATATACGTAGATATTAAGAACTAAAATTGTATATGAATATAAGATTTTGAATCGAATAGGTAGATTAAACCCCGACAAACGACACGGACCCATAATTGGTTGGTTGGTGTTAATGTCTGCAGATGCAGCCATCATGTCTTTGTACCTTTCGAAGTACGAAGAAGCTCAATATAACCTTAACATAATCAATTTTTGGTTTGCCATCCTATGATCGGCCCTTGTGAAAGTTGTTTAACTTCCGCATCGTAAGCCAAAAGCGCTTACCACTACGCAATCGAGATCCACATTGTTAAAGCTGCGTGTTCGCAATTTCGTTCCAATTACCGCACTGCGCTAATCAGTACGCTGATTACAGCGCGCTGATTATAACGCGATTGCAGCGCTCACCCTACGGAATAATTCAAATAACTACCTGACAAATCAACGGCGACAGATATATTAATGTTTTGTGATCGTAACAAAATATACGAAGTAACAAGAACAGTACTAAAAGGTTGCAGTTGAAGCGCTATTGATTTTCCATCATTAAGCCAAATACACAAAACATTTGGCTTAATAAATAATTGCTCAGATTCCAAGATGAGTAGCTAAAGCCCCCGTATTATGGAGTATCTGAGACAACGAAGGTACCACAACACCCAGACCCAGGACAATATAGAAAAGTTCATTTTCTACATTGACCCGACCGGAAATCGAACACGGGACCTCAGAGATGGCGACACCTTGAAACCGGCGTGCGAACCACTCGGCTACTGAGGTCGTCGTTTATAATACTTACTAGATAAATTATAATAACACAAGAATTTGTATGTTTGTAATACTATTATATTTTAAAACTTATAAAAAACCCTAGGCGGGTTTTCTTGATTTAGCTTATTTTTATAAATGTTGAAATATACTATTTCACAATTGAAAATTATAAGTAATCACCGGTTGTGAAAATACTATGTTGTCAAATCAGTCGCAGTCGGTTAACGAGATGTTATAATCGATTTCTCTCTGAATACCTGTAATTCTTGAAGAATATCGAAACTATAAAAAAATCTAACTGTATACTTAAAGTTTAAAGCTATATGCTATAATTTGTTTTAAACCGATGTAAGATAGGGCCATCTTTGTGATATTTTCCAAAAAAAAAACATAATTCTACAAAATCCATATTCTTTATTATTCTGATTATATTTTTTTATTATATCATTATATTGTTTTGTCTTTTTACGCAATATATCTATTCGCGTAGAAAGTTCAAGATCAGAATTGAACTTAGTGCTATGTTTGTTCATAAATAATAAAAGTGCATAAAGAAATAATGTTAGTAATTATTTATATTAATTAACTTTATAACATGACATAGGGCACTTATTGATGAATAAAACCGATAACTACAAAATCACGTACACGAGCTCGGTTACCTAACGTAATTGAAATAATATGGCGGTCGGGGACGGTCGCGTTCGCCGCTGTTAATGTGTATAAAACGACCTATTTATTATGGTCGATTATCATAAAAGCCGACCGAAAAATTAATGACCACGACCGGTAACGCACGGCAGGTTACTTCATTCACTTTGGTCAGCTCGGGAGGAGATAAATCGAGCAGCCTGCATAACATACGAATAACTAAGAACAACATTTACTAATCGAAATATCTAAACTTGCGTGTTTTTAAGCATGAAGCTGAGAATTTTAATATAAAGACACTAGCTTTTTCGAGCGACTTTGTAGTCCATGTCACCTGCAAATCAGTATTTAAAAAAGTGGCCCTCTACATAGAAACTAAACTAAAAAGAAAAATATTAGCATAGATTTACAATTGATTTTATTGGATCCATCTATTGGATACACAACGAATCCCTTAGTGGTAAACAAAAAAAACCTAACAGAACGAAAGAAACCAATTCTTTTTATGACTTCTGACATCAATACTTCACCATATAATAGCATGCGATCAACTTGATCAGCTTCTTCTTTCCCCTTCTACGGCTCCTACATCCTTCCACTTTCATTATTATTCTTCTGGCATTGCTTTCACACGTCCGAACCGATGGAGCGTGCCGGCATTAATGTTTTTGCCGACGCTTTCTTTCAGTTCAGTTCTCTTTCTTAAATATATGTTTATTAAGAATACAGTCAGCGAGCATTACTCTGTTGATTCTGCATTACGATCGTATCTCGACTGCATTTATTCTATCGTACTTACAACCTCTATATCTTAAAACTTGGACCAACATCGCATTGTGTATAGCACCACGCATTCTGGCTCAAATTATTGATGCCAAGAAGTTTTGCCGACGATCCATTTACACTGTTGCCATCACCCACTCTGCTTTCTATGTATGCAACATGCAGCACTTAAGCCCGTCTAAAAATTAATAGTGTGCGCCGAAATATAATGTAGGTATAATTTTTAGATCTATGATCATTTAGATATATGATACTTTTCTTACTTACGAAAATTATACTCATATCATAATTATATCAAGTACATGATACATTTAATTACCTTATTTTACTTATTAGCTTATTTATTTAACAGCACCACGGCAGCTATGAGGAGTTGCAGAAGGATATATTCTCGCTGTCCCAGATGGGAGGAGGGTCGTATCCGATGCCCCAAGGCTTCTCTATGGGCCACGGAGCCAACATGAGTGCAGTCGGCATGCGCCAGGATACCATGAGTGAGTATAATTCTAGTTTATTTATCACAGATGTTCACGATAGATTCCTCTAGGTTGTTCTATATTCCTAGCAGAAAGGACCAAGTTTATCGAAGCGCGCTCTGTATATTATTTTTTGTATACATTAAATGTAACTGATTTTCTATATAATTAAGTTTCCTATTTAAATTCAAACTAAACATAATCTGTGTTATTCTAGTGTCCCTTTTTTTCTTAGGTACAATATGTAAGCAATAACCTTAGCAAGTTGGCACGATTATATGCTGATATCTTAAATAATTTCATACTCCAGATAATTTATAAAAATCTCTTAAGAATTAAAAACATTACAAACACTTAATTATAGTATTACATTAAAAATTAATCCTTCTATTGATGAAAACTAAGTACCTAAATACCGATCCGAAGAAATAAAACTTACGATAGCACCTAAGTACAACAAATTCAAAAGAACTTTAATAGATAATTATTAAATTCCTTGTTTGTACCAAGTCAAACGAAAAAAACATTTCACGGACCCAAAAATATAACTCTTATTTCATATTTTATATTAGGAATATTGTAACTAGAAAAGTTCCGCGTCGGTCCCCGTGCACTAGCCGTTAAAGTATAAAGTAAATAATAAAATTTCCATAAGTTACAAAAGGATAAAGTAATAATATCGTAGGTATTAAAGGTCAAATCTAACCTTCGCTTTTGGAATACGATTCGTTATTGGTTATTTTTATACACTCAACCTCATTTAAGAACATCAACGCAAAATTAATTAAAATTTAGCTTACACTGTTATAATTTCCACATTCCACATTCATCTTACTTAGTTTTACTGAAACATTAGTAAATTGGCACGTTCTTATTTCAATAAATCATAAATTGTATTAAAATTACGTGCTATACCTATATGTAAATTTGATATTTCTAACACTGAAACATTTTTATATAAGTAAATAATTTAATGAAAATTTATGATCTTAGTTATCGGTTTTCTTCGTTAAATCATCCGAAGTTTGGGAAATTCGTTAAAATATGCAGCTATTTTATTTAGTCTGAGATAATAAGTGGATTTTCTTAGCCTATCAAAGTAGTTTTGGATAATAAAATTCCTTGAATTGAAATAGCAGCATTTCATAATGAAAAATGATTAAAAAATCCACTTTGTCCCTGGAACCCGAGATGGGACTCGAACCGCTTAGCTACCCAAGACCTAATAGGACTGATGAATTTTTCAAGCACTTGTTACTGTTTTGCTTCTACAGAACGTACTTTCATAAATATTCAGGCAATCCACCCAGACAGCCGAAAGAAATATTTTTACAAATATTTAAACTTTCGGAAAAGATGTTTTTTTTTTATATTTTGATCTTTATTATATGCATTCACGATGGTATACTGAAAAATTTTAATAAAGAATATTTTTCAGTATAGCATTGTGCATAATCATAAAAAAGCATTTAAAAAAAAGGGCAATTATTAACTGTTCTGTTTTTAAAGCAATGATTACAATAGGGACTGAACTCTTCGATTCCGTTCAACGCAGGGTTAGTAAGTAATTGTCAATATATACATTGACGTTTTTTTTTTGCGATTCGAGAGCTATATGCATCTCAATGAATTATTCGAAATTTTTGTTTTTTCTTTTGGATTTTGTCGCTTTATCCATAACAGCGTATATCAGAAATGGAAATTACACCATCGGACACAAGATTAAAGGTTAAATCAAATAAAACATACTTTAAAAGGTAATAAAGTAATCATGTATAAGCGCTGTCTTCGACACTGCATTTGTAATATAATACCAAAGCTCACATCCCTATTAATCTATCACAATCACATTTAGTGGAATAATAAATTCCAATCAATACATTAAACTTATTTCAATTTAAGTTTTATATAGAATACTATCGATAAATTTTTAATAGTACATTTGCAATTAATTTATTATTTAACTCCAAAACGCATAAAAAATAACTAAGAAAGCTCCAAGTTCCTTTAGAAAAGCGCGGCGTACCCATCAAACTTTTATTACAAGCGTCGAGACAATTAAAAAGTTGTCTGCAGGATCCGATCCGTTTTTATACAAATACCCCATGGTAATGAGAAAACTTAGTCTGGCCGCTAGCGGCTACCGCTGACACCCGCAATATGATATTGGAAAAAGTAAAAGTTAATTACGATTCGTTAAAGTTCTCTTTATAGAGGTCCGCGGAGAAAATGAGACTTTATGCTACATAATGAAGCATTGATATGTTACATAAATAATGAATAAACACACAAAGTCATCGTGGCATATGAGGTTGGGGAAAAATGCCTTCACATTTTATATGAAAAACATACACAGGCCCACAACTACTTCTTTATTTGGTTTCTTATACGCTCCTTGATTTGAAAAAGAAACAAAAAATTATTTTTTATTGATATACATTATCTTCTACTTTTCACTAGGAAACTGCTTCCTATCCCTGTCTATGGTATAAAAACCAAACCAGACGGACTCATATGTCAACGCAAGCCGCAATTACCGTACCTATAAACTTGAAATTTGGTACGGATTCATGATATAAGTAACCTAAGCAAGGAATTTTATTTAAAGTGTTAGTGGATAGCTTGGTTTCTGGGTGCACCTATTAGCAAATATTATAAAATTCATTAGTGTCGGAATTCAGAATAGTTCTGGATATTGTTACTTGTCGAATCAAAGGGCATAAAAGTTATTTTTTAATTTACATTTACCTAACTGTAGTATTAACGTATATACACGTGCTATTCTGTTCATATATTGTTTTGAAATATTATAGACAGTGACATTATGCCGTTCTTATAAAAAAATTGAAGACTTGAAAGTTCTCTCTTAATCTTTACTTGAGATTGAAACAGATAGACATCTAAGTATTTGAAAAGACGCATTATTGTGACGATAGACCACATTTTTCTATTGGTCAATTTCAGCCGTTTTTATTTTAAATCCTTGCTTTAATCACATCAGTTGCTGGCAGAAGATATCCAATACCATACCCACAGCATCACCTTATCGCGGGTCATCCTGGCCGCAGTATATGAAGTCTGACAAGCTTATTTCGCATTACATATGTAACCCACTTTTCATCACCACTTATTAGCCCTCACTGGACCCGCATGGTAGATTTTGAACCGTTCTGTTATGCCATGTGATTCCATTCGCTAGAATAGCCTTTGCCACAGCAGTGTCGAATTAACAAACTAGAGATAATTTTTACTTACTCTGTCTTTAACTTGCTATTTGCCGTGTTCACTTAAGATTTGTAATAATAATATTAATATTCATTACGTGTTTAGGAAACTGGTTCACATTAAAATGAGCCCATTTATAATTGAGTCGCAAGTTCGCGACCTGCTTACCTGTCGTCGTGTTAGTGTAGTGTACGTAACTGAATCACCGTGTGCGTGGTGCCTACTAAATAATTACATACAGTAAGATGTTAAGTTCGCTAACTCAATGTCTAGTTGCTCGGAGATTACAAACATTCAGCGCAACTCGACAGGCGTGCTAATATTTACTTAAATTAAACTATAACGTCATGGTTTAATTTATTGCCAGTGTCACTTTAATGAGTTTATATTTTTCAAATACGAAAATATCTTCATGAAGATTCATGAAACGCTTTGTGTGCGATTTTTCAATATTTTACATTTTTATATGTTATCATTTGTGGTTATTGGTGAAAAACGAAAATATAAAGGTACGTGAATAGGTAGGTACGTAAATACTCTTTTAAAGACTCTTATATAAAATATCGCGGTCAATATCATTATTAGACCAATAATATTTTTCCAGTTCTCATATTGATAAATTGCCATCTCCGAATACTTCAATTATTATACCTATTTGCGAACTTTTTTTGTCGAACGAACGAACAAAACGAGTCAAAGCTAGCCAGAAATAGCTAGCGTCTAAATAAACTAGCTGTGTTTTGCCCGTGTAAATCATAGGTCCCGTATAATAAAATAGTTTCGAAGCCTATTCAATTCAAATAATCAAATATAAATTTTTATAATATAAGTATAGAAAAAGCCATTTATTTGTACTAACAAATTCTTAACTCTAATACATATACCATGTAGCCAATTCCGCGAAAAGCAATAAGAATTTTTTCACGCGAACCGCACATTTCGGTAACGAGCCGAGGCGTCGGAGCGCGAAACGCCGTCAGCGCAAGATTCCTGCGTCGAAAAAAAAAGAAACTGATGGAAGGCATCGTACCGTAGATATTCTAATAAGAAAATTTCCACTACATTTACTTTGGCGGGCGTCCTCGCGGCGTCTCGGCAAATATCTTATTTCCTGAGGCGAGATTGCATCTTGAGAAAACGCAGGGTCGATTCCTTGACTCACTATTACTCTACCCTACCCCGCCTTAGGTCGTAGCTCCTCGTATATATGTGTAGCACTTTGCTACGGATTACGGAGGCGTGTCGTAGATGTGCTACGTTCGTTAACATTTTTTGGTGAAATGTTTTATATATTTTGTATTTATTTTTTTAAGAACAAGTTGAAAGTAACATAAGCTTATGAGTTTATAACAAAATTTATTTATTTATGTTTTAGGTTTACCAGAAACAAATATCATCTATGGAACATCTTATGACTAAATCTAAATGTATTTGTTTGTTATGTAAACACAGCATACATGAAAATTGTGGTTAATTATTAAAATTCTATAATAACAACACATCTAAGATTACCAAAAAAATACAAACAATTTTGAATATTGATTTGCAACTTATATTTTCTTAAGCTCACATCAATGTCATCACTGCAGCAGTTACTGTATATTTTACACATTCGATAGATTACAGAATTTGATCCCGCCATGATATGACGAAAAGGTGGACAGAGAGATGCGATTGGTTTACATGGATATCTAACTGGCACCCGAAATCTAATTCTACTTAATAAAATAGGACAATCAATATGGTGGTGGTATTACAATATGTGTTAGTCGAGTGTTGTAACTAACTGTATGTTTTCCTAAACCCACAGAGAATGCTAGACTTCTTACAAATCACTTTTGAATACGCTCAATCCGTAGTGAGTGTGTTGAATAATGAGGTAGCCACATTACACTAGCGTATTCTAAGATACTCCTAACAAGACTGTTATATAATATTATTTTCATGTCTACATTTCGAAAGCTTTTACATTTATTATAATAAAATCTAACATTCTAGAAGACTTTTATATTGTTTCTTCAATGTACTTAACAAATGTGAGCTTACTTTCCAAGAGCACCAAAACATCCCTAACTGTTTCAGTCTCATTTTATCAATGAAATATCTTGATGGAATTACATTCCTGGTTTTCCTCGTGAATTTGATATGGTTGCATTTGTTTAAATTAATATTGAGACCATTAAATTCGCACCACAAGCTTAAAGAATCTAAATCCATCTGTATATTCTGAACATCCTCCATCCCTTCAATGTTTTCAATTACTTTTTGTAGATAAGCTAGATAGACATTAATAAATTTAAGCTTATTATGTCCTGGGCCAGTCCAATATTGAACTGCGTTTAAGGCACGTTAGACGTAAGTCCATGCTAAATCTCCAGATGCTTATACCCAACACGAGACCCGCATGATCGGCTATAGCTCATTCTCCATAAAAATTACTTTACTATGGGGAAGCGTTACATAAAATGTATAAACTGTTGGTTATAATGATACCTCATAATATTTCAGGCATGAGCGCTGAAGACGAGTGGTACAACAAATCACTGTCCGCCCTACGGATGAACAGCGGCCACCACGCCAACTTGGCGGCCGCGCCGATGCTTCAGTACCAGACCTAATCGCTGCTGCACGGCGCTGACTACTCGCCGGCGCCGGCGCACGACTACGCACCACCGTAGTCAGAGCGCAATGAATACGTACTTAACGTTTCATACGACGGACTTAAAGTGCATATTGTAGGTAAGCCAAATGCTGCAACCGCAACACACGGATAAAGAAACACGCGGTTAGAACAGATATTTTTTTATCTTTTAATCTCCTAATAGACTAATGGCTGGTTTACACATAATTAAATAGTAAGTAAATTTTTAACTTAATTTTAAGTGATTAAGTACCATTAAAATACATAAATAAGTAATACGAGAGAGTTAAAATTTAATTCTTATTAAGCTCACGAGTTCTAAACTTAATTTTAACTTGTTAGTTATTTGTGTGGTGACACGTACTTTACCAATTAAAATTAAGTTAAAAATGTACTTACTACTTATCTACTTGATTGCGTGTAAACCAGCCATAATATCCAGTTGCACAAACGTCCATGCCGATTTAATAATTTGAAAATTTATATCAATAATGACAATTTTAATGGACCTCTGTGAGCGGATATAAAGGGTTACATGTTAAAGCTTAAAGACAAAATAAGACGTGACCATCTTGCTACTAATGAGATAGATAAAGTCAATGATAGCGTAATACGCATCAAAAACCATTTAAAACTAATTACAAGCCAAAACTATTGTAAAAGTTGTGTATCAAGAATTCGGCTTTGAGGTAACTCTATGATTTTTTTTTAAAAGAAAGTATACTTGGAGACGTATAAATTAATGTACTTTAAGAGTAACTGCTTGATGTTATTATTACATCTATCAAGAATATTTTATTAATTCTCGTTAAAACAGTAACAGAATCCTTAAAAATATCATTAGTTTTTTAATTTTCAATAACAGTTTATTCGAACATTATTTCTTTCTTCAAAACCAATTGTAAATTAGTGATTTTTGGTTTACCCGCCATCTTAAATATTTCAATGCAGTGATCGTAAAGACAGACTGTCGCGATTTTTTCATATAACAGATAACATTGTGGTACAAAATTTAGTAGTTCTTTCCTCCAGTGCTATATAGCACTCTTTCTTGTAAAAAAAATTCTGTTTCAAGAACGATTATTGCCCAGCACAAACGTCCATTAAAATTGCCATCATTGAAACAAATTTAGAATACTAATTAGAGATGTAAGTCGTCAATAAACCATAATAAACAAATGTGCAACTGGGCAATAATCGTCATTGAACGAAACTTTCTTTTTTACAAGGAACTTTATTAATAGGGGAAGTTATCGAACAACATACGGCTATCTCGATTATGCGAAGGTTCCTGTATGGTTAAATATGTTACATATAATATATCAACCAGATATGATATAAAAATTGTAACAAATTGGTCACGCTTCAAGAATAAAATATTAAAATTTTGTATAGTTGCCTGTATTTTTGGTAGTGCAATAGATTTATTTGAGGAATTGTGGACTAATTGACCTTTTTTTTTAAATATGTTATTACAAATAATTCCATTTGGTAATTTTTCATACAAATAAAATTGACATAGAATTTTCAACGTTAAAAATGCTGCAAAGATAACAATAGAAAACACCTACAATTTTTTTATTTTTTATTATATATCAATAAATATTGTTCTTTTAAATAACTTACCGATTGTTCGTTTATCTTTTGTTAATATTATAATCGTTCTATAATAATATTACATATCCTATTGCATTACTTTATGATTAGTACTTTCTTATTTAAAATAAATTTTAGTTTATTTCTATAAACTTTTGGACAGATAAAATCAATAGCAAAATGGATTTATTTAATTTTAAAAAATATTAAAAAAGAAGATCAGTATAACAAGTGAACGCAAAATTGATCGAATATATTAACTAAATCTATTATAATAAGACACATTGCCGTGAATAATAATAAATTTTGTTACATTTTATTATGACATATATAAAAGTAGGAATTTACTGAAAATTAAGTGGATTTTTAATAGTAGCATCTATATATATGATTTATTGAGTGACATGCTATTACTCTGCACATTTTTATCATCAGGAGTTGTTTAATATGCAGTGCCAATTACTCTATGTTATCTGTTCTAGTTTTACAATTATTACATACGACTTCCACAAAGAAACGCCTGATTCTATGAAATACTTAACGATTTGAAAATAAATTCTATTTTTTCCAAATGCTATCACCGCGTTGTTTCCAATGTTATTAAAGACATAGGCATTCCGCGTTCTAGATAATAGGTACAAATAGTTTTAATTTCGTTAAGGGATTTGTTCCAAGATATAATTACGTAAATTGTGTATGCTAGTCATAATAATGTACAGCTATTTTAAATCAATTTAGCGATAAGCGATGTATTTTTCTTGATTGTTGTAATGAAATCAAATGTGCGGATTCGTGTATTTGATAATCAGAAACTCTATTTCATCACATTACTTTTCGTTTATATTAATTATTGTTATATGGTACGCCGGTTTCTAATTGAATCTTTTTTTAAACCTACACATAAGATCAACGTATGTCTGATGGAAAAAGCGTTTTATAACGAGACGCTTCACAGCTCTTCTCTTAATTATTTTATATAGCTTTCTAATAGCTAATTAAATTAATACCTACTTATATTTAATCATTTATCAAAAGTAACTAGTACTATATCAAATTGACGAATCCAAATCATTATTTGCTAAAAAATGGTGTAAATATTAATAACGTTTTGCATGATAATTTTCTAAGGTGTTAAGCAGCTCAACGATATCGTAACGTTAACTGTCGATTAGTAAGAATTATCCTTAAGAGGCCATTACCAATTCAAACAGATACCTAAAACTATGTCACGATCTAGTAATTTTTCTAATGTTCGTATTATCTAAACTCAAAAGTAGATTTATATAATAGTTCTAATCGAAATTGTTTTCGATTTCTTTGTAATATAAAAGCCCGTTAATGATTAAGACTGTTTTGAAAGATGTCTATTCTCCGTCGATGGCCACATTGTGCATTCCATGTAAATATAAATTAAGGAAACTTGTCTAAATAATGAACATGTGTAAAATGAAATAAATTGTCTAAAATGTGTTTTCGTTTACTTTATTCACATTAATCAACATTTTGATTTCAATAAATCAGTGAATATTATCCGCTACAAACACTGTCCATTTTAAAAGTATAAAGCATGGGGTCTATCTTGAAACCCTGAAGCATCGAGCAGATATTGGAAAGTATTCTATATATTATTTTACCTTACATTAAGCATATACAATATAGTTGTGCTGTATGACTCGAGTGCTATACACCAAATGATATCCTAAAGATAGCTGATAAAATAAATTATCTACATATTCAATTTACTCATTTATATATTACTCTGTCAAACGCCTTACAGAAATATTAATTAAAAGAATTGTTTGATATGGTTATTTTTTGGTTTTGATTGAAACAAAATATGTTTTTATATTTTTAATTAAAATTAATTACAACCTCCTAAATAAGGCGCCGCGTAGTAATGCCGTCGAAGCAGTGAGGAACATCCGCTTATGACTATTCACTTCCGCGAATCCGATCTTTGCGATCTTTGTAGTAATTAATATTAAGTTTTGATTAAAGAAAAGATCAATTTAATATTAATGTAAAGAGAATTGAATACTTTTTACATAAAAAAAATCACTCTGGAACTATACGCGCGTAGTGTGGATTGGTGACGCTGAATCGCTGGAGATAGCGAGTAAGATGGGCGAGTACAATCCTCTCCCCACAAACTCTCTGCCAGAATGCGCGAGCCTCATCTCGTACAGCTGCAGACTGACCACATTCCTACACACAGGAAAATTAAAAACTTTAAAAGACTCAAGCCCATATTTTTATATGAGTTTATATTATAAAAGGCATTAGTTATAAATTCCTTTGGTATTGATAGAAATGGTGAATGAGCGCCTTTATAGCTCTTTCTCGCTCTATGCTGCTCTATATCTAAGGACCTCGATGACGTTGAAGTTTCATCTGCGATTTTGAACACTAAGCAACTTTCACAAAGGTCTTCAATCCGCTGATCATTAGTTCACGTCCACCAATTCCTCTATGACAGAGTTCATGTGATTCTATTCATAAGAAATACCTATGGGGACATTAATAATTTGATGTTAATGGCGCATATATTTTTCCTAGGGAGAGACAGGACCAACCTGTGTTCAAAATCATCATAAACCACTTGTGATTGAACACAGTTACAATTAATTTTGAATGAAAAATATTATTCCATCAGAACCATTGTAGGAAGAGAGGTCTGTCATTATATCACAATTAGTTCATTGATTAAAATCTGAAATATAGATGCAACATCAATTATTGTAGAATAGAATCTTACCGATGGTATATCCGTAGTATGACTCGCTTGCACCTAAAACAGTTATAAAAAAATTATACGTGAATCCGTGCATGACTAGCTTACTTTCAGCGGCTTCGCTCGCTTGATTTATACGATGACTTAACAGTAGGATAAAAAGAAGCCTGAATGTAAATTCAGGCTTGGAATTATTAGTATAACAAATTTCATTAAAATCCTTTCAGTTTTTGCATGAAAGAGAAACAACATTCATACATCCTCACAAAATTTAGCATATACAACATTAGTATAGTTATCAACTCACGAGTTGTGAAGTGTTTACTTTTTCAATAAATTTAGCCATGACTGAACGGAAACTACCGTGATGTTGAATATCCTGTTAAAAAAAATAATTGAAATTAAAAAATGCCAAAAATATAATACGATTATGTAACTCTGGAAAGAAAAGCGTAAAATGCATCGACTGCTTTTTGGCTCGTGTAAAACTTTAAATAAAATAATGGTCCTAATATTTATGTCACAAATAAAAAGAGACACAAGAAGGAAACAATCAAAGACATACATATCGGTGTATTATTTCAATTTTTGAATACAGATTCAATGTTGTAACCATTTTTATCCTAAAACTACGTTGTGCATTCAAAACGTTACCTTTACACGTCCATGCTGAGGGCTCCTTTTTGGTCGCGAATCCTTCCCCACCACCCAGTTGAGGGTATTCCGCAGTGGGATTTACCAGGTAGGACTTTCACACTTACCATGGGGCTGGTCTCCATCCTAGGACTGGTTCTACTTCCCATGCATCAACAAGAAAGTTACCTTTACACTTGTACTGCTATCCTCGAGGTCAAGTGTATTTATCTCAGACCTAGTTCTGATTACATTGTCCAAAGAGATTTCTGACTGTAGCAAATCGCACACCTAAAACACAGAATCAACATATAAATTTAATCCATATTAATCCGAAAAACAATGTAAAAAAGCCTGCCAAATAATTGGACGCGCGCACTAAAGATGCCGTACCATTAGGTATTTATAATAAAAAGCACGTATATGGGTGCCACTTAAATATTAATTATTGTTTTTTACGATTTCTTATTATAGTGACTATAGAAATACATCAACTGAAAATTTCAAATCTCTAATTATTACGGTTCAAGAGATACAGCTTGGTAACCGATGGACAGACAGCGGAGGCTTAATACCCTTTGGGTGCAACCCTAGCAAGCTAAAAGTTAAAAGAACATCGCCTTCATTATTTATATTCGCCTTAATTTAATATTAATTTAAAGAATATTTGTTAATTTTGAGACCCATCTCGCCGTTTGACAAAAAATGTAATGCATTAAACTGGCTGAAGTGGCTGAAGGAATATTTGCTTTTTGCATGTAAAGTGTTTACTAAGATTTTTTTTACGTTGCAAGCCTTTATTATATAGACATTGAATTTATCTGTTCCCGCTTATTTTATTTGGGTCAAATCGACAGTGATTCCACATCTATGATCTAGAATATTTCAATAGTACCAAATAGCAACGTATACTCACCGTGTCGACATTTTGTTCATCAATATTCTTAATTAAATCGCTGAAAGTCTCCTGGTAGAGAGCGGCCATCCACGGCTGTTTGAAGAACTCGAACAGATCGTCAATCTCGTGCGACTACATGAAATTTGAGACTCAGATGTCAACACGGAATACCTGGTCGCATGTCCATTTTCAATACTTTACAGAAGAAGGAATTTAAACTTATCAACGTTCATTACTAACTTCATCACCAGCCCTTTTACGTCCCCACTACAGGGGCTCAGGACTTCCTTATGGATGGTTAAGGAGGATGAGCCATGACCCTCCACGCTGGCCCAATGCGGATTGGAGGGTATTAACGACTGCAAATTCAGCCGGGACTAACGGCTTAATATGCCTTCCGAAGCACGGAGTAGCTCGAGATAATAATTTTTTGGTCACCCATCCCGTGACCGACCCTTGCGAAAGTTGCTTAACGACTACGATCGCGGGCCGCGGCGCTTATCCACTACGCCACCGAACTACATTACTAACTTACATTATTTCATTTACTAAAAATGTTAAGGTGAGTCTAATGACTATTTAATTGTGATTGTATATTGCTATACTAGTGCCAACGTATTCCAAAGATAACGACGCAATTAAATCTTAATTTTCAAAAAGAATAACATCCGACCTTAATAAAGAAGGCATTTTCTTGATTCCAAAAAAATATCAGACGTGCACAAAGCATACATATTTTTAAGGACTAGTTAAAAAGCACTGTCTGTCACTCACTTTGAATCCCTAACTTCCTATATTTATGTAGGTATATGCTATATTATATGTATGATTTATTGTTCATGTGGTACTTATTATTTAATTTATTTCTTATATGTATGTATATTTTACTGTACTTAAGTTTTTGAGGCACTATAAGCCACCCAAATTTAGATATAATCTTTCTGGAAGAAATTACTTTGTAATAATAAGGCCGCCAATTATGCACATTATTTTATTGTATTATATTATACCATTTATAATATAGTACGAGGGCGGGATGATAAATGCTTTTTGAAAAGAAACAAAAGAATGCTTTTTGAAATGTCAATATTTAAAAGAAAAACTATACGATCGATTTGAAATTTGGAACACTGGCAGCTAATGAACCAATGAGCAAAATACTAAGGATATTTTATATCGTTATTATACTTAATATGGGTTCGGCTAGCTATTTATCATCCCGCCTACGTATATTTAATTAATTCATAAAGTTTAATCAATGATTCTTAGGCCTTCTATTTAGATCCGATCTCATTTCCACATACTTACTACTTACATAAAAGTAGTATGTGGAGGCCTCCAAATTAAAGAACATGTTCATAAGCCGAAGCCCCGCTGGTGTCAAAGAGATATGGGTTTTTCTAAAATTCTAGATATTATTTCTAATTAGATATCAGTTTACTTTGATTTTGATTTCTATAATACTTCAGCTCAATGCCCGCTTCTTTGCCTGCCTTGAAAATAGACTAGATAATAGAATTTGAAATAACGAACCAGATAACGATAGAGAAGATGATTGAAGTACGCCTCGTGCTTCCCATACAGCTGAGTGAGAAGCTCGGGGTGGAAATGTTTTCTGGAAAGGCATGTGATCGCTTCCACGCAATGCAGAGCGTTCAGTTGCAAACGAAAGTAGTTACCCCTTTTATCAGTTATAAGTGTGTGACCCTAAAATATATATGAAAATAATTTAAATATATACCCACAATCATCCTAGTCTTTTTCAACGATTCCATATAAAGCATCAAACACACCGATACATATCGCACGTTGAGAATGACAATGTCACTAACCAAAAACGATGTATTTTTTACTTTTGGTAACATTTTTCTTTGTTAAGTATAAACTTTAAAATGCAAAGATCCCTGTCAACGTAGCTTGCATAGAAACTGCTAGGTGGCGTAGTGACGATACGTTGTTTAGAGGGGCTGATTACAAATTTCTTGTACTTTAAACGCTCATTAATCAAATTCGCATTTTTTACATTATGTCACTATCGTTCTCAACGTACAATATCCTATTAATATTATAAAGGCGAAAGTTTGTAAGTATGGATGTATGGATGTTTGTTACTCTTTCACGAAAAAACTACTGGACGGATTTGGATAAAACTTTACAGCAATATAGGTTATACATCAGAATAACACATAGGGTACTTTTTACTGGGAAAACTTCTCACTCCCACGGGATACCGACTTCCACGCGGACGAAGTCGCGGGCGTCCACTAGTGTGTCTATAAGAATACCGTAAAGCCGAATTTACAATATATTACGAAATTTATAAAATCCTATTAATATTATAAAGGCGAAAGTTTGTAAGTATGGATGTATGGATGTTTGTTACTCTTTCACGAAAAAACTACTGGACGGATTTGGATAAAACTTTACAGCAATATAGGTTATACATCAGAATAACACATAGGGTACTTTTTACTGGGAAAACTTCTCACTCCCACGGGATACCGACTTCCACGCGGACGAAGTCGCGGGCGTCCACTAGTGTGTCTATAAGAATACCGTAAAGCCGAATTTACAATATATTACGAAATTTATAAAACTAAAAATAAGTTTCACGAAACTAATTTTGGCACATGTGAAACTAGTTTAGAAATGGCATGCAATCAACAGAACAGTTTCTTTGAGACACTGGCTCCGTCAACATCTAGACTTTACTATGCGCAGATGGTTCGCAGTTTCGCCGCGTAAATCGTAGCGAAATTAGTTGCGTTACACTAGTTTCAACAAAATTATGCGCATCGCATGAAACTACTCTAGTGTCGAGATCATTTACACGTGCAACTGCTAGCGAATTTTGTAAGTTTTATGCAATTGCTTTTGTAAAGCAAATTCGGCTTGACGGTTAAACACCTATTTGGCAGTTTATTACGCTCATCACCGCCATTTAGTAGAGGAAGAAAGATAGCGTGTCGCCTATAACCTTAAGGATGCCGCGACATACTATATAACATCTGCTATTATTCTCGCTCTATCAAATGGCGGTTCTGAAGCGTCAGAAAAAGACAGAGCGACTAATAGCGACATCGTGCTGACAGCTGTAGCCTAAGCCTAAAGTAGTTTTTAATTAAGCGATGAGAAGATAAGAAAATCCTATTATGAAGGATATTACGTTTTTTTTATTATCTCCATGATACTTCGGAGCAAAATACAATATGCTCAATAAATGTGCAGATAAGTTTGGACGTTGTGTCGGGGTTTTTTAAATTTATTTTTGTTTTACTTCTTATAGGTACATACTTATTATAATGTAGATTCTTGCCGAAAATTTTCAAATTTATATCTAAGGTGAAGATTACATTTAAGATCAACCAAAGCTAAGAACACTCTTGATTAAGTCATAAATATTATCTTTCAGTGCGCTTTCTTTTGAGATCCCACTCGAGTATATTTGCCGACATTCGATTATTCTTCCCCAATTTCAGCCCCCACAACTTTTAAACGGCTCAACCGATTTTCATCAAACATATCTAAAAACACTCGCAAATAAGTCACCTTTAATGAAAAAAAGAACTAAATTCATTTCACTTCATTTCAGGAGCTATGATGCCACAGACTGTCTATCTGACATATACAGACACGTCAAACTTCGACGGTTGAATATCATCATATTTGATATATTTAGAGGTCCCTGATAATAAAATCATTATCTACCTGATGTGGTAAACAGAGTTGCACAGCCATGGGTATCTCCGGCCCAGGTTTCCTTACTTTCATGTAATGCAGTGATCCAGGTACTTCAGAGTATTGTATTATCGGCGATTCGAATTTCATCACCGGTTGCCATCTGTTAAAATGCATTAATAGTTCATGATCACAGGACAGGACGAAGGAAGTAATTTTTCGAAATGAATATTGAATCGTTTAAGCGTACTCGCGGTCGCCGAACAGAGAAAATTTCGTACGTTGACCTTGTGTCTATGTCTCGCTGTGAGAAAGAGATAGGTATTGTGCGAGATTCTCCTAAGTTCGTGGATTTAGGCTGGTTTGATACAAGAAAAAATCTAAGTCATGCGATACCGCCCGACCATTTCTTTTTGACGCTAAACTAGACTCTTTAAATCTTAGCAAAAAAGGCGGAAGTTTTCTTATATACGAAACATTTAATATCGTATGTAGACAGCCACACCAATCCCATGGTCCAAACATCCCAGACACGATTTAAGTTTATACCTAACCCCGAAACACACTTTCTAAATTATGAAATTTAAATCAAATTTGGACGTTACAAATTACCTTCTCGACGCTCCGAGTGCCGAACCGCTCCCGGGTGTATTTTTGAAACTGAAAAATCATAAACCTCCAATGACATTCCATTTAATAGGTATATGTATAGAAGAAGATTAAATACAAATATGTATGCATTTTATTCAAAATATCAACATCGAAATGAAATTAAAATGTCTTTATTCAAGTAAGCTTGTTACAACCACTTTTGAATAGTCAAAATTTTTTTTTTCACCATCCACCCGTTCAGAACGTAGTTTAGCTGCTAAGAAGAACGTGCAAAAGAAACTTACCAGCTCTTAATTATAAGTAATTACATTTACATAAATCATGTCATTACCAAAATAGTACGTATTATAACAATAATAAATACAATTTTCAAAGTCTGTAGGTAGGTTGTACTTGTTCAAATCATTAAATTTGTCCTCACGCTGCCGATTTACACAACGCTTTCTAATTTTAATTTGTCTACTTTCATCATACATAAAAAAATAAACATCTAACACAAATAATTAGAAAGATTTTAATAGACTTACCCAAATAAAATGTGTGCTAATTTTACAATATCATTTTTATTTTTATGAATAAATTATTATTTTGTTTTTTTTTTCAGATTATGTATCAAAACATATTAATAAGTGTAGATTTACCTTAAAAAACTGCAACTGTGTTGAAGGAAAAGCTCAGAATTGCCACTACCTGCATTGGGATCCGCCGACACAAAAGGATCCATTTTGCTCAAAAATATTTTAGCTAACTGGAACAAAACAATAATTTAGTTATTTTTTAAGTTGTTTCCGTATCATCTGGCCTCTGTAATGTTTCTTATTAGTAAGTAGGGTATTCCAGATCCGCAGATCAGCGAGTCGGTTAAGCACAATGAACCACTCACTATATTTAAATGTTGCAATGTTGCCGCTCTTGGCAGTCTTGTCTGTTTTGCGTTATGTGTGAACCCCTTTACCCACCTCATTTTCTTTTGCAAAATGCAGGCCACGTGGCTGTTGTGTAATGAGCGTTTTTAGTTTTTGTATGCGAAAACCTAGTTTTTTTTTCCGTAAGTAATTTATTATTACAATTCTAATTATACCGGACATAATCCATAAAGCTACGTTTCATCCACCCATCGTTTTATCCTATGACCGGACATTGGCGAAAGTTGCTTAACAACCGTATCGCAGACCGAGCGCGCTAGCCAATTTGCCATCGAGCTCATCGAGCATTGACCTTTAATTTGAATTAATAAGGTACGTACAGCCTCCCCGACATTCTCCGAGCTGTAATATCGATGCTGCAGACGATCCGCGTAGAGACGGCGCGAATACCGCGAGCATGGACCAGCACCGTATATGTTAGGGTCGTTAGTCTCAAACTCTGGACTCACTACTAAACCTCCATCGTATACCAAGCCGCTCTTGTTGATGGCTATGTTCAATCAATAAAATACAAAATTTTAAGACAAAATATTTAACGCCGCACAGCACTTGTATTTCAATAAAATATGATAAAACACGTAATGCTGTCTCTACTACTGTAATGCTGAAATGTGAACGGGACAGTAACACTTAATCGAGGGTCGATAAGAACGTAACTGTTTAATTAATTTCCGTGCCCTTCCCTTTTCTCTTCTTTTTGATTCGTTTCATAGAGAAAGCCTATACCCTAACAGTGGGAACATAAAATTAATATTATACTTTGTCAAAGTGTATGAAATCTCAAGAATCATTATCATTTACTTTCATTAAATTGTTGATGTGTTCGAAGACCCTGAGTCAGGCCCTGTCTATCTTGTGTTAAATTTTGAAACCAGAAATTAATTTAAAATATACTTGACTAAAGTGTAACTACATCTCGCAGCAAGATATCGCCTTTTTTCGTCGCTTTATCCTTTTCTTTCGCTCAAAACCACTATTTGCTCGAGCGAAAAAATATAGATGGTGTGCGATAGCACGCGGCAAAAATCGCTAAATACTTGAGGCGATAGGCAAAATGCTCTTTCTTACTCTAGCTAACGCGGTTCTGATCGACAGAAAAAGATAGAGTTTTAGAAAACGTCGATAATTAATATCGAATACAGCTCAACTCTTAATTTCCTTTGATTATAAGCAAGAAGTGATACCTTTGAAAGCATTAGTATCGATGGCCTTGGTTCCGTAATAGAAGAAAGCAAAACATGGCAGTTTGATTGCATGCAACGGTCCCATTAGATGAACCGCTTCTATATATGAGTCAACTTGGCGCCACCCTGCTAATGTGCAGCGTCGCAAAACGCGGATACCTATCTTCTCTATACTGCTTTGGATCCGGCTATCTACCTGTCATCATTACTCTGCAGTCATAAACCCATTATCTAGGTCTATATACAAATTAAATACTACTTGCTGATTAGTCAAGAAAGCACATGTCAGACATTACATAAATATCTAGAAACGTAACCCTGTAAATTCTGCTCGTATGTCGAAAAATCACGTACCGTAAATACACATTAAGACACTCAACAACGGATATTTCATTCTTTCTTCAATCTGTTTTGTTTCAAAGTTTTCATTCAATTTTCTAATAATATTGTCATTATCCTATGCTTATATAAATCAAATCGTTCTGAACATCCGAAAACAACATTAGTAAACATAAACAACATTAAACCAGTAGGTATTTACCGTTTCATCATTAAAGCAGTTAACCCTGAGCTTCGATCTATCTTCTGAGGGGAACGGTTCAACGAAAGTGATCTTCTGTGCTGCCAGTCCTAATTCGAGCAAAGCAGCGAGACAATTGTATGCTTCAACACATTCACCGTACACTACCACAGTGTTCTTGTCGGTGAGCCGCCTCTTAGATTCTTCTAGACACGGACAAATAAATTGCATGCACTTTGTTCTTAAATTTAATTAAGATCAGGAAAAAATAACAACACGAATAACATTACAGGACAAATGAAAAAAAATATTTTCATTTTTTGAAAATCCATTCACACAGTATTAATGCACTCAAAAATATATGACGTTGCTTGAAATCGCAGCAAAAAAGAACAAAACATCCCTTACTTTTTTGCCGGTTCTCCTCAATACAAGGTCTCCCACCGTGGATTTTCGAAGCGATGGTATAGCTTTCGACATTTACAAGTTCTTGTTACGTCATCACCACCTTATTAATGTCCTCACAGCTGGGGCTCAGGCCTTCCTTCTATCTCTGTTTATAATGTATTGATCTGGTAATGACATGGTTTTTGTAAATGTCATTACTCTTATTAGAGCTGGCGAGTTTCTTGCTCGTTCTTCTTATCAGTCAAAAGACGTCCTGAACGAATGGTAGGGAAAAAATGTTGGACGATTCAAAAGTACTTTTAAGAAGTCTATTTGAATAAAGATTATTTTGACTTTGACTTTCCTTATGGATGGAATCGAATCAAATAGAAGCTTAGCTTATAACAGCCTAGACTGAATAAATGATACTGAATTGAAATTTGAATCACTAGAAAAATTAACTGTCCATGCATTAGCTCGAATGTTTCTTACTCTGCTCGCTCATCATCCGTAGCAGTCTCCGTAAGCAGATGTTGGCTTGCAAGATCGAGTTTATCAACATTAGATTTTCAGGTGTTTCCGGCGGGAGGCACACTTTATCAGGTTGATACTCAGGGTTGTCCATTAGGATACGTTCACAAGGTTTGTCTTTCCTGTAATGCAAAAAAAAAAACAAATCATATTATGACCATATTCGTTATTACTATTGGCAATAACAAATTCATCTACTTGGTAACTTGAGTATGCATCTCAACTTGAAATGGGTAAAAATACCGTTCCATATTTCGGACAGTAGGTGTTAGGTACACCCAGATCACGATTGAATCGTCGGTTAATAATCGTTTATAATCGTCAGTATACTCGGAATTAAACAATACTCGGAACTGGTCCAGTTCAGACTTGTTCTATGCAGGTCGTGTGTCTTCGTTTAAAATTATCATCGAATTATAAATTATCGAATTATCATTACAAAGAAAATTAACTGTAAAGGTCTTATTACTTTGAACTCACAATACGTTTTATAATAGATGATTATAATAAAACGTATTGTGAGTTAGTGCATCAAAACCATATTTAAATAAACTCAAGATAAAATCTTAAACCTCCAAAAGCAAGTCAAAAGTTACACATAATATACGAAACTAATCCCTGAAATATTACAAATATAACATCAGTATTGTAGACACTCACTCAACCTCTTTGACTATCTCCAGGGCCTCGTACAAATATTCCGGGTGCTGGAACTGATGTCCACATGTCAGCACCAACTGATCGTAATACTTAACACAGCCACCTTTCAAGTGTATGCACTTTGCTTTTCTGCAATAGGGATGACAACTAACTTTTGTCTGTTTGTCCGTCAGGTAGATTGTTGAAAAATATTAACCACTGATATTGATTTTTTTTTCTTAATTATTAAATTACGATGATACATTGAGTTAAAGTGTCACATGACGTGAAGTTTTGTACACTTTCTACAATACTGTGAATATTTTCAGTTAAATTGAAGTAAACAAAGTACGTATCTAATATTTTTCAATCGTCTAACTGACAGACTAAATAAAATTTTGTTTTTTTTTTAACTCAGTTGTCACCCCTATTATAAAGCTTTAAAAGTTTTTCATTAAATTTCATTTTTTTAACAAAAGAGAGTCTAAACATATATGACATAGTCTCCTGAGAAATTATTTTCTAAAGTCGCCAACTAACGTATAATAAAATTCGCGTGTCAAAATCTGTTGTACCAAAGATTATTAACATTATCGTCTTCTGTAAACATATTACAAGATTGTCATCCAAGGTCAGCCAAATTTATGATTAAATCGAAGTCTAGGCAAAATAGCAACTTGTACTTAATATGACCATACTTGTATATAATATGACCAAAAATTGACATATTCTTTTCTTTGTTTCCAAATATATATGGGACCCAGAAAAAAGATATCTTATACAGCTGTTGAAAAATATATATGTACCTGTCAATACCGATCATGAGTGCAGTCATGAAATCCACGTAATAATAGAAGGGCACGCTCCTCAAATATTTATCGGTGTAGCGGCCCACCTGAGGGACGCAGGTCTTCGCCGCCTTCAGGCATTCACCAACCGTCGGCAGCCCGTGCTCAGACACCAGTGTAATGTTAGTGAATGTCAGATACTTGCGCGCGTGTCTATTAAATAAATAACACACGATGACCAGTAATTTATCTCATAAGCAATGGCGTAACTATCCCACATTTAAGGGCTTAGAAAATTGTACAAAAAGTTATGAAAATTATTATGATGCTCCTATTACCACAGTTAGCTTTCATTAGTAGGTAAACGCTATCCCGCGTGAGCCTCATGGCATTCATTTTACCTGTCTTACCACCATAATGTTATGCCATTGCTGTTTATAAGTTAAATTTACCGTAATCAACAAGTAGGTATTTATGTACCATCAATTAAATGGTAAGTTAATCTTTTTCATCCATTACCTCAATCCATAAATTCAATTTCCTTAGAGAAGTTTCCAATACCATTTTTGTTCAATATGTAAAAAACTTACTAAAGCGTTCTACTAATTATTTCCTATGTCCAATAACGTTACTCACAACTACACTTCAACGTTACCTTAAAATTAACCTTAGAATTCCATTACCTACCCCATCAACAAGGTTTCTACAAATGCAAGGCCTGTTGTACTTGCGCCGACCACAACTATGCTGTTGTTGACCATCACCTGCGGAATGCTCGTGAGTGGTCGATCCATCATCCACAATGCGAACGGTGTAGTGCTGCCAATATGTAAAGTGTTTAAAATTAATATTCAAATATACATAGTAAAACCGAGAAGATATCGCTAAATTGACAGCCAACATTCGCTATTCGTAGAAGCACTATAAGAAGATATATATTTGTTGGCGTATAATAAAGGAAAGATTTTTCCTTAGATTTGCTGACAAGAAAAAGGAAGTTGTTAAAAATTGCTTACGTACTTTGCTTACGTAATTAACAATTTTACTGACGTACTAGTTCAATGATCGCTAAATAGGTAAAGGAATATTATTTAAGCTCAAGCTAATCAATTTCCAGTAGGGTCTTCTACTCTGTTTGAAATAAAACTTGTAACTGTTTATTTTAATAAAAAAAAGCCATAAACATCTGACATATTCATGACGTCATTGTGATATGTACACAAAAATTTAACAGAAAACAGATGCATAGAGTAGAAGATAAAAAGATGTCAATAAAACAAGAACAATTCCATCGATCGATTTCGAAATTAAATTATATAAATGAACTAAGAACAGCGCCATCTAGTAATTCGATTTATAATTAATAGGCATATCTGACAGCTGTGGCGTCACATAATGGCGGGTCGTGTTTCACACAGACAAAAAAATCTCGACCAATCTCGACTTTTAATTTTGCGATAATAAAATAATCGTGCGATTTTAAACTCAAAATCAGAATCTCTATATTTATTACGATGTAAATTTTAGATTTTGTGCAATTTCGGGACTTATTTTTCACTACCGAAACTATCCTATTATGTATGTACTTTAAACTTAGTCTAGAAGTGTGGAATCAACAATGAGTAAAGTAGATAAATATGAGATTGTTTGTTAAAATATCTATTCTTAAATCGTCAAATTAAAATATATATTGCGAAGGACTTGACGTCAAACGGTTAAGAGATAAAGCTTATTTATATTGTGGACGTACTCGTTCTGAAATACGATATCCAATGATTTGTTGCCACTGATATTTGGTGTAGAGCGTCTTGGCAGCACCGGCACCATGTGACCAGCCAATGACATCAGGTTGCGGCTTGGACTCTATATTTGATTAAATCCATTGTTGAGCGTTGGGTTCAATATTTGAAATTACATTATTGGTTGACACGGTGCATGTTGAATTTGGTAAACAAATTTCGTTACTATGACGACCTCAAATAGTGTTTCGATGAATAGTATTAGAAATGAAATCATACTGAAATGTTTTGTTTTATTCAACTGTTCTTACTACAACAAAAAATAAACCTGCTTGCTTCATGATATAATTATTCAAGTTAAAGCAATCGTATATCGTTACTTAATACTTAGTGACAAACTACTCAAAGTTGTGTAAACTAAAATAAATTGTGTCAAAATTGTTTGATTACTCTGAAATTGGTCAGTTAGATAGGAATTGATACAGGGGCTGGAGCGCTCAGCCTGCGACACGTTGGTTAACTATTGCAATAGCAGGTCATAGGATGGGTGAACAAAAATTTACTATCTCGAACTCCTCCATGCTTCAGAAAGCACGTCAAGCCGTTGGTCCCGGCTCCGGCTACAATCATTATTCCGGACTGGGTCATGCATGGTCCATTCTACCTGTTCGATTCGATTCTATCCATATAGAAGACCTAAGCCCCAGAAGTGAGGACATTAATAAGCTGCTATTACCGTATATTTTTTAGATATGTATATGAGTGCTTTACCACATCGCCCTTGGCAAAAAGCCTGCATATCCAGAATATCGACGTGTGATATGATTGACGCAGTATATCGCGCATGTACCAGCGCGCGTGCGGCTCAAACGCCGGCGACATCACGCCTGCTAGCACCTGTATGATGCATTTCCAACGTTAACAGTTTTACTTAAAGATCTTCGCGTGAGAAATCACGCTCCGTTCACTTGTCTCGCTTTTTGTTTTGATAACAATTCTAACCCTCGATAGCTCGATAGCGACGTGGGTAGGGTGTTCGGTATATGTACGTTAGTCTTTAAGCTTTATGTTGTATACTTCCTCCGTGCTCCAGAAAGCACGACAAGTTGTTGATCACGATAAGTTGTTAATGAATCCCGACTAAGCCCGCGTGTCATGGCAAATTCTCCCTATTCGATTCCATCCATAGGGAAGGTCGGTGTCCCAGCAGTGGGGCTCAATATCATGATGATATTGGGACATTAATATGATGATGATATTGAACAATATCACCTAATGTAATAGATTAGTGGCTTCTTTAATGTGAAGTCAGATTATGTGAATTATAATTATGCCAAAAAATAGCCTAAAAGATAATTATACCCACATATACTATATGCTATAAAACAGTGAATAGCAATGTGTAGACAACTTTTTATATATTTTGACGTGGATACGTCTATGTTTTCGTTCTACAGGGGGGTCATTCTGTGAGCAGGAGTATATGCACTAACGCCATCTATTGGCGTATAAGTGAACTATGCTTGCTCTGCAGGGGGAGGGGCATTCTGTCAGCAGGAGTATATGCACTAACGCCATCTGTTGGCGCTAGCGAATACTTCTTTCATTCAACAAATGAACGCAACGAATATTTATTTATTTAGTGTCTTCAATTTGTTTATTTATTTTTTTATCAATTATTCATATATCCATTCATACATAGACGTATCCACGCATAAAATATGGCTGTATCAATGATACAGCCAACCAGGGTTTTTTTTTTCTAGATATTTTGTAGATAAACATGAAATATATCGAAAACGTTAAAAATAGTATTTATATCATAACTTAAAATCTAAAATATAATATAATTTTCAAAATTTCTCGCAGAAACGCCATTTCTGTCATGGCGTTACTATGACGTCACGGCAATGTATATCGCCCTATGTATGCATAAGTTTGAATTCTTTAAGTTCTGATATGAATAAGACGGGCGTGACGTCACGCGCTGTTTGCGGTCACGTGACGACGAGCATTAAAAATATTAGTTTTTTCATAATTGGTTTTAACAATAGCATAAATATAATAAGCATGATAGTGTGGTAATTGTATATTAAACACTATCCGAAATAAATTTATTTATTTATTTCGTTTATTATCTACACCCATATTAAGTCAAAATTTTTGTGCTATAAAAAGGGATCTCTTAGTATAATTTTTAATACTTTTCTTATTTCATTTTTATATATAAATACTGTGAAAATCCGTATGGTACTTTTTTCTCGGATTCCAGACAGACAAATCTAACTATTGCTTTTGTATTTGCATTGATTTTTGTTTTATAATTATTGATATAAGATAAATGTCTCACCGTGCCATCTGTCCTTGGTTCCTTAGGTTCCGACTCCAATTTGTATTGTGTCCTTATTGCAAAACCAGCTTCCAATGGACTGTTGAAAAAATGACTATTAAGTAATAAATGAATCATCTGACATGAATAAATCATCAATTGTATTGGGTTTGAGTTTCAATTCTTTGTTAAAATTTATTCATAAACTTCACAAAAAAAGGAAAAATAGATATGTATTATTATTAAATCAACAAAGACGACTAAGGAATCGAATCCTGTCTGAGAATAATATTGCCAACACTCTTTTATATCGTTATCGTAATTTATAATACTCAAAAAAAGTTATATACCATTGTCATGTGGTTTAGCAATACGTAATTTATCAGATAAATATTTTTTTTATGTGACAATTGATAAGTCGATCCAACAATCACACGATGGGTGCCAGTTTATTACATTGACTTACAGACCCAAGTCACACGGTGGGCGCCACCTAATTACATTTAACAAAATACCTACTTTTTGATCAAAACTATTTTACCCGAGAATCACCATTCCGACGGGTTGTGTTTGACTGAGCAATATGAAGGAATCAAGTCTCTGAGAATTTAAAGATGAACTGAATAGATCGAGAAGTGAAACAGCTCGCGGTGCGTGTTCCAAGATGTCGTTCAAGTAGACCATGTCACTCGCCTCCCCTGGACGCACTGAGATCTCACTGAAACAACGTTGAAACTGAATGAGTAAAATCTTCATAAGGCTTTGACAATGTGACGGTATACTGTGGACACGAAAGTCATGACGATCACAAAAAAATAAACAAATTAGAACTTGCTTGAAATGATTTTGGCGATATATACGAACTGTGAATATCTTATATATTAAGATATAGATATTGTAAGTTATAAGTTATATTCCGTAAATAGAATTAGCAATGCCTTATTTATAGTAAAAAATAATAACAATACCTGGTTCTCAGTTCTCAAGAGGTCATAAATATATTGATTTCTTAAACACAACATTTCTTAAATGAAACAACTTTTAAACGGTTTCATCGCATTCGTATTTAGTTTTATTGACTTTTTGGATCCTCTACAGTCCGTCACCGTTTAGATGTTGTTTCATTTATGGATAGTGCGCGTGAAAATATAAGAAATCAATACGAAACTTCTTGTCACAAATGTTTAGGACAACAAAACACATACCCACATTTCGTTTGAAGTACGAGCTTACTTAATTCATCATTTGAGAATCTTAATTTCAGCGAATCCACCTGACATTACAGACAGATCCTCGAAAAGTGTATCTATCTTTTACTCAAGCCGATCATCGAAAAAGACTATATATATTTTTTTACTCGATCAATTCGTCAAGCTTGCTTAGGCTTGTGCTTTTGATGACACATTCTACAATCCTAATCTTTAAGAAAATGGCGCCTGGTACCATATACTTTTAATGTCCACATCAACTAAAGGTTGACTAGCACAGATTTTTTACGGTTTGTACGGTAGTGCATGAGGAATTGAGTAAATAAATAATAAAATACTACCCAACTGCGGTTGGCCTATAATGAATATTTAATACCTTACTCACTTTATCGTGTAGGTAGAAATGTTTTTTTAAGTATTCTATAGAACAAATTCTATTCTTAATTTGATTTTTAACTTATTTATTTATAATTACTCACCCCCTAACGGAATTTACGTGAGCCACATACAAAGTTTCATTGATGAATCTGAGTCTCGTACAAAACGGTGTGACCAACTGAAAATTAAACTTATTGTATAACGATTAGGTCTTAAATATAAATAAATAAATAAGGTGTAAAATAACATATAAATAAATACAAGATAATACCGTGAAATGCTCTAAAAGAGGAAACGGAGGATGGCTGGACGGCAAGCATAAGATGCAATAATCCCGGTCGGAATACATCTCAAAAGCTGCTTCTAATATGTCGAAACCATATCTAAAATTATCACAAATTAATCTTATAATGTTCCTATGGTATTAGTTATTATTAGAAAACTATCAAACGAAACCGTTCTCTTCAAATACCTATAAATACCAAGATGAAAAAATGTTAATCGGTAAACAAATAAACCTCGATTCTTACTAAATTTCACCAAGAGACGTAGACGCCTCAAACGTCGCCATTTCAACGATTCAAAGTATCGCCATCTCAGAAGTGCCGGGTTCGATTCTCAGTCTGGTCAATGTAGAAAATTGACTTTTCTATATTATCTCGGATCTGAGTAATGTGTTACTTTGGCTATCTTAGAGAGTCAATAATAGCTACTCCGTCTTGGTATGTAATATTTTTTTTTAAATATTTAATATTTATATTTATGTTGTATTTATTTATTTATCACAGGAGTCTTATTCCATATCCAAAGAGATACTAAGAGAATCGTTGTTTTAAAAATATAAATAGATCCAAATTGTTAAAAAAAAAGAACAAAAACCTCTCGTCATAATCCTGATGCATAGCAAACAATTCGAGGAGGAACGCGTTAGACGTGCCTGAATAACGTTTTAGATCGGACGGTATATTTTTGATAGCTTGCTTGTCCTGAAGAGTTGTTGCCACTGGAGATAAAATTACAAAACAAGAAAATAAAATATAATCATCAGTGGCGGAACAAGGGGGGGCGGATGGGGGTCCGCCAGGGCCTCTTGTCCTGGGTGGCCCAATTGGGGTTGTACTACCTTATTGACGTGGATACGTCTATGTTTTCGTTCTACAGGGGGGTCATTCTGTGAGCAGGAGTATATGCACTAACGCCATCTATTGGCGTATAAGTGAACTATGCTTGCTCTGCAGGGGGAGGGACATTCTGTCAGCAGGAGTATATGCACTAACGCCATCTGTTGGCGGTAGTGAATACTTTTTTCATTCAATAAATGAACGCAACGAATATTTATTTATTTAGTGTCTTCAATTTGTTTATTTATTTATTTTTTTAATTATTCATTTATAAATGCAATTATGCCACAACGTTGCATAATTCCGGGTTGTTTTTTATCAATTACTCATATATCCATTCATACATAGACGTATCCACGCATAAAATATGGCTGTATCAATGATACAGCCAACCAGTGTCTTTTATCTTTCTTATGTCCAGTTTTAGCAGGTTGGAGGGTGTGTAAACGCAATATCAAATGCAGAAAAAGTTGTAGGTCAGGCCTGATGCCGCCCCAGGCCCCGACGAGATAAGTCCGCCACTGATAATCATTCAATGCTATAACATTTCATTCTTACCGTTCAAAGATGAAGAATCTAATCAAACCAATACATTTGAACTGTGATTTTTGTTATATTTATTATAGCAAAATACTTATATTATTATTGCAAAAACTTACCTGTGATTGCAATTGCATTCTCAGACATGAAGTATGTAGTTCTTGGTGAATATGTCAGTATCGAATAAAATAATAAGTTCTTATATTTCTAATTTACTCAGTATTTATGTTCACCGATTTCTTGTTTGTATAATCAAAAGATTTTGAGAGAACCTTCCCAGAACGGATGGAGGAAGATTTTTATAACTTCTTTTATTACTATCAATAATATCTTGGTATATGTTTCTAAAGTTTAACTTTGTAATTCTCAGGTATCACAAAGGAGGTTTTTTTTAATATGTAATTAGATAGGTAATAATATACTCACGTGCGCGTTTATCTTTTTTCGCATGCTTGTCGTCAGTGGCTTCTTTATTTTTCACTGTGTCATCTAACATTTTCATAATGCTATCAGCCAGCCTTTTTTACAAAAAAAATACCACATATTCAGTTCTATTAATAAACAAGGTTTAGCGTCAGAGTAAATTTACGCTAAAATTGCAATTTTGGTATTAGTCCAAATTCATATAATACAGAGAATAAGCAAACCCACTACTTTCTAGGAGTAAATGTTACTCACGCAGAACCTCGTACTAGGTTAAGCTTTACCAAGTCTCTGTTTAATAATATGAATTTCGACTCTGTCTCTGTTTAATAACGTAAATTACTCCAACGCTAATCCTTGTTTATTAATAACACTGATTATGTTTAAATCATAATGGTCTGGATAAATTAATTGGTATACTAGACCAAGTTATAAAAGTCACATCTTGAGTACATCTATTATTATTTTAGATAAGAAAAGGATAGAAACTTTTGGCAAGTATAAGAAACTCCTTACGCTAAACTTCTCTGCCTAATGAGACACAAGTCAAAATAAAAGAAAATAACCCTTTTCCCATAGCGTCATAAGTGAGTATCTTCGGCACCTTCAAGAGGTCGATGTCAATGTTTATGATATCGAACTCGAGTTCTTCCTCGTCTTCGTCAAACATGTTAAGGTAAGAAGGGTCCTCTAGCATTTCCCTCATAACAATCTCAGGTGGTGAGTCGATATGAAACAGTCGATTCATAGACGATTCGTGCTCCTGAGAGAAGTCCGTAAAGTCTTCGGTGTTGAAGATATTCTGTAGGTAAATATTTTCAACTTAATAATACCTATAGTCAGCATATTGAAGAGAGTGCTTAAACTAAAATTATTAATATCGAATTCCGAGAAAACATGATATTTTTATGCCTTGAGTACTAATTGGGCCAAAAATTACTTAGAACTTAGACCTGTAAAGTTCCGAAATTTTATTTGTCATTATAGTTTATTCTTATTTTATAGTAAAAACTGATAAATGTAATGATTTGCGATTTATTTTTGGTGCTCTATATCCCGCTCTTATAGATTTCCCGCATCCCGCAGAATAGGATTAAAAAATTAAACTTTTTAATCCTAGTCTGCGAAAAAATGCCTCGTGAGCTAAATTATGATATAATAGTTTTATTATAGTGTTTTAATGAAACATGAAAAATCCGAAATTCCGACTAAAAAAAGTTATTTAGTGTTAAAAGTAACGAGAACTAGATTTTCGCAAATGTCATCATAAAAATCATTAAAAAATAGTTAATCATCCCATTGTCTTTAAAAAAACATCTCTGGATTTTCCTGTGCAAAACGTATTTGAAGTTGGTAAGAGTCAGTTATACGCACAGAACATAGAGAGAGAATAGAAGTAGTAAGTGGGCGGGGCACGCGTCGCTGGCATATGCGCTTTTACTCATATGACGCCCTTTCCTCGGTTTTATGTTTGCCAGTCGTTCGTCAATCGTCGAGTGGTGATTTTACAATTTTTTTTAAAAAAATGCCGTTTTGTGCTATTATCACTTGCAAAAAGCAAAGCAAAGTATACAATCTAACTAATGCAAACATTTCCTTTCACTGGTAAGTACAATTTTAGTGCTTAAATATAAAAAACGTAATAATTTGACACAATGTTAAATAAAATATACATTGATTGCTCAAACCAACATCAATGTTTCTGACCCCATTACTAAACAGCAATGTAAATCATTTTGTGCACTTTTGCAAAAAATAGTGCTGTGCCTCCATTTGTCTGAAATGTACCGATAGGCTGCTGCTGCTCGGAATCGTATTGTTAATTATATGGATCGTAATCGATAACTAAAACATATTTATTTAGAGCTTTTCTTTCATCATTTCATAACAACGTTATCGATAAATATATGCCATAATTATATAAAACTAAAAAATACTGTTTACAAGGGAAAATTATAGATGAACTGATACTGAACAAATGAAATAATGAACTGTCCAGGCACTTTTAATACGAAGATTCGGTTAATTATTTACACGCAGATAAATATTAAAAATTACTGATGTGCTATAAATATCTAAGTTACGAAGTATATCACCGTTTTATGAACAATACATAAATTAAACGAAACTTCGTGAAAAGCTAAGAGTTGGCCTAATAGGTCTTGTTAGAAACTGGTGAAACTGGATTTCACTTATTTTGCATTACTTATATTTCAGTTTCCCTAATAACTTTACAACGGATTGCCTTGTTTACATAATTAATTTTGCCCTATCTGTTTTAGACCTAAACCTATCAAATGAATTTCAAAACAACATAATATCTATACAAACAAAAAATTATGTTTTCAACTAACGTAATATTGTTGGTGGTGTGAATTTAATTTACAAAATTAATTTTTAGGCGTCAATTTAATTTACCTTATTCTGCTGATTCATAATCGGAAACTATTATTATAGAAATCGAGTTAAGAAAGTCACTTTAAAGAACCGCCCACAGAACAGCTTTTATCAGTTTTTTTGTTGCTCCATATTTGCACATAAGTTTATAGACGCATGTCTCAAACGGATGTGACTTTATATGTAGATTGACGTTTGTACGTACTTATCGCTTTTGTGTCTATCTTCAAACTTTTTTTGTCACGGCTTTCAAACTCATACTTGACCAGCGATTCCTTATTGTCCAGTCGTTGCAATTAATAATGTAGCTACTACTATTATTACAGATATAAAACTTAGAATAATAAAGTAAAACAAACATGGCTATGATCAATTTATTAGTGTAATGATCATATTAGTTATTATGAAATGAAATGAAAATATCTTTATTCAAGAAGGCTATTACAAGCACTTGGAATGGCAAGTTTATTTTTATTTCTACTTTTTTTTGTGAAGGAATCGTAATGTTTTCTTGCGTACATAATATTTTCATTGATGTATTGAGAGGCAACAGTCAAAATATTTATTTCTTTAAATATTTCTCTGAGAGATTCTCTAGACCGTAAATTATATATAGCGTGGACAGCTCTCTTTTGTAGAATAAAAATATCTTGAATGCTAGCCGCAGAACCCCATAACAATAGATTATACGTCATTCATTACACTATGAAAATAACTAAAATATACCAATCTTGCCGTTTCAACATTTGTTAAGAGTCTAATTTTCTTAACAGCAAATGCTGCAGAACTCAGTCTACTTGACAAATTATCAATATACCAAAATACCAAGGAACTTTGTCGATTCCACCATCTCAACTTTTTCACTATTTACATTTATAAGTATATTAACATGCCTCACATTAGGTAATGCAAACTTTATGTATTTCGTTTTATTTGAATAAAGCTTTAAATAATTACTATCAAACCACTGTAGAAAATTGTCGAACTGAATTACATTGAACTGTTTCATAACAAAATTTAAAGCTCTTATTTTATCAACTAATATGTCACATCACTAATATGCACAATCGGAATGATACCAGTAAGAAAAAAATACAAATTAGGCTTAATGTAATTAATACAAAAATTCTGTTGTTTTCTTAATTTTTGTTTTTTTTTTTACACTTTCCCTCGCTTAATTATATTACTCCACAGACATACGATAGAGTGTATCATTAAGTTTTCTTAGTTTTTGTACTGCGTTTTTTAAAAGATATTTTAATAAATTATGTAGGGAAAAGCCTTAATTTTTCAGTATTCACTTGGTTACAGCAAAATCTAATATTAATAGTTCGCACATAAAATGATGACCCCAATTTTTTTAAATGTGCATAATCTTAAAATATTTTTTTCCTTCTGGTATCCCCATATACAGCCACGTGACAGTTCAACATTCATGTTAAAGTAAATTATTTATTATCACGTTGAATTAGAGTTTGTTTTTAATCGTGTGATTTCTTAGCTTAGTATCTTTTTGGGATTTGATTTATGTTATCGCGAACCTATCGCGTGGCGGTTTTTCATGTAGTGAACAAAATGATCATTTCATCTAATCTGCATTTGTGTGCGGAGAGGCGACACTCGGTTCCCATACTAAATTAATATCATTATACTTCTAATCTCTCTCTATGTTCTGTGGTTATACGGTATCGTATACTGTAATACCGTACACCAAGGTGTAAACTAGTCTTTATTATTATTAGTATTTTCAATTGATTATAACACAGTTCCGCATAACTAGACTATTAGCTTTAACGCCCAATGTTAACCCAATGATTTGTCAATAGGCTTGTGTCCTACAAGGACACAGGTGTCTATTATATGTTCGGGAAATTCGAACCCTCTATATCGAACAAAATAAATTTTAAACAAAATAAATTTCACATAGTGCCAATAAATTTGGCACTAATTTGGAAAATAAAAGCTTTGAAAACCTGAAAAAAAGTAGGCCAAATATATTACAAGAAATTGCTAAAATACATATGGCATTAAATTACATAAAACGTGACAACTTTTATTAACAGCTATAAACATAAACGCAAACATAAAAAAGATATTAAAAAGACTTATGATGTCAGTTAGTGGCTTGGATTTGTAGGAAGCGTTTTCAACTGACTAGCAGCAGTTCTACAAACATAGCACCGTATGTCCGAAACTATTAATCCCAGACATGCTGTTAGTTCTACATTATTTCTCAGATATAAATGGACTAATTATTTATAAAATAAAAAAGGAAACTGTCAACTAGACTATTGAGATTGATTAGAATAATTAAGATGTCACTTATATACATGGAACAATTCTAAGAACATTTGATACCTCATTTCTAATCTTCGTTTTCGATTGCTTTTCTTTTCTTTCATGTTTACAGTGATCTGTATGAGTGGAGTTTTGGGCCAGCGGATCCGTAGAGGTTACGTTAATCAAACTATACATTGGACATACAAATGAGAGTCAATATTCTTAATAGGTTACTTACTCATTTATAATACCTAATGAAAAATGCCAACCATATAATCGTAGTATGCAGTCTCCGTTATTTATTTTTAGATCAAAAGGGGAATAACATTAAGAAAGTACAAAAATTCGCTAATCCGCCATTTTTGAAGTCCCGAGTTCGATTTCTGATAGTAAATGAATGTAGAAAATAAACTTTTCTTCATTATGTTGGGTTTGGGTGTTACGATCCCTTCGCTGCTTTGGATTTTCATAATACAAGTGCTACTTAAACTATAAGCAAATAGCTTACAGTTCAAGTAGCAAACTGTTAATACTTTATAAGATTTGAATAGCGGTCTGTTGCTATCGCAACTACTAATACCGGCTATTGCTCGAAAAGACGCTTTTGTTCCTTTAAAGGTCACTCACATTCACTACAGTACATATACATGCCTATATATTTGGTAGATAATGCTCTTAAGGCACGGTCTCTACTCGTTATAAAAGTGGCAGATGTAACATGTGAAAATATCTTTAGATGCGACCATGACTCTGATAAATCCGCCAACGATCATATCAGCAACTGATGAAACAGCCGTCACAATAATAAAAAATAATTAACCTCATAAAGGAAGCTGGGGTAGAAGGAGCAACTTCTGTATGCTTGTACAATGCGTTGAGGTGCCGCAGCCCACCGAACGGTGACAGATCGAAACTTTCCTCCAGAGCTTCAAAGTTTATCTGTGTGTTGATGCACATCACGCCCACAGCTAGCTCCTTGTGCTGCGAGTATCTTTTTAATATCATCATTGGAGCTCAGGCCTACCCTATGTACGATATCGAACTAAATCGAATAGGGAGAAAAAACATGGAGTAGCTCGGTGGCGTGGTGGATAAGCGCTGCAGCCCGCAATCGATTTTGTTA